ATGATGAAACTATTGACATAAATAATACAATAAAGAATAATTTGTAAATGAAAATAATTAGTAGGACTTGTGTGCAAATACGATTATAAATCTAAATATGTTGGGACGAGTGAAGCTGGGAACCACATGCATTCTCATAAGCCACTCCCCTTGCTGTCGTGGCGCTCCTGGTTTCCAGATGACTCCCAGACCACATGGCATGGGAGGTTTTATTGGGAAAGGTCAAGCCTTCAGGGCCAGGATCAGCATGAAAGAAGGCACTGCTGCTCCCCCACACTTCCCATCATTCATGGAGAGAGCAGGACCTGGGCTGAGGCCCAGGTGATCTGCTATTTTGTGTTTTTATAAGACAAATTTTAAAGAATTGTCAACAGGGGAACTATATAGGCTGCTTGACGTCCAAAGGTTAGAATTTGGAGAACCAGGAGTTTATACGAGCTGTCTGAGACCGACAGCTGCTTAGGACATAGATGACACAAGTCCCATGGGTATTTACAATACTCCCCTGCCTGCCATCAATTCTGGGGGTAGTGGAACTTGGGTGTGGCTCTTCTAGGTAGAGAATGGGTGAGGGTGGGATGCAGTCCTACCTAAATAATTGTTTAAGATTTCTTATAGACAATATTGCTCATTGCAATACAACTAAATGGTAGACAACAATGGTGTTGAGCAAGCCAGGCTTAGTCTTTTGTGCTAAATATTCTGGAGTTAATTTTTGCTGATACCAGTTAAGGTACCAGTGGGAAACAGATGGCAAAAGGTGGGAATGAGAAAAATTTAGTAAAGGAGCTATTTATAAACATGTGGGCAGACACGAGGGAAAGCAGCAAGGGATGGGGAACCATCCTGGGGTTAGCAGCAGGAGAGAGGCATCACCACTTCTAGGCCTGGAAGGGGAAAGGGGATACAGTTACCAAAACCCAGAGACAGCTGTAGCTCTGGAGAAGCTAAGGGATGGGCTGTGGCCTTGAAAGCCTTTGGTGTAGGAACCTGGTATTTCCAACCTACTATCCTGCAGGGAGGAAACAAGGGAGAAGAAATGACCTTCACCTCACTCTTCCCCGCCTCCAAATCCCTGCTGGTGTTTCCATTGGCCAAAATGAACCACAAGTCAGAGCTCAAGGAATGTGGTAAATCTAACTGTTGGAGTCCGTAAAGATCAACCATCCCGGTCACAAGGATGAGTGGAGAAGGAAAAGAGTGGATATGAAGGGAAACAGAATGTCCACACATCAGCGAAGATAGAGCCTAGTGGCAGCTCTCGATGAGGGACAGCTTGGGGAGAGCAAAGGAAGTAAGGGCATGGAGAGGTTTAAAGGGAGATGAGGAGTAAGATCCCACTTTTTCAACAAATTGATCAGGAAGAAAAAGTATAAGTTATAAAGCTATCTTAAAGAGGTCTCTGGATTAGGAAAAGAGAGTATTTGCTGATTAAGGAAAGAAAGTTGTTCCATTTGAAGAACAAAAAGGATCCACTGTGAAAGGAATCACTGGAGAGAGAATAACAGATAAACCCACAATAGAGAGTATAGAGTTTTGAAGACAAGTTGCACATAATGAACAACGTCAAAATTGTACCAACTGTTTGTTGAAAATCATTACCAGTTCCCATAGTTAGTCAGTCTTAGAAGTACTTAAAACTACTGCAATATGCTATCTCCTAAACATATTTTACTAAGCTTTAAAATGTTCTCACATATGACTTGAACAGGTTAAGGTACTTGACTGAAATAAGAAGGCCAGATTTGAGGATTAGGTAAAGGTTAAGAAAATGGAATAGATTTCAAAATTGATTATCTATTGGACTACTTTCTTGGCTAAAATTAAATACAGAACAGAGAATGAGGGCAATTACTCACAAATTAACTCTTTTTATATATTTTTTTTCTTTCCACATCTAACAATTTTAATGTATTTCGAGGCAGACGTGTTGTCTGAATTCCATCTGCAGAATGTCGTGGTGTCTCAGAACTGCTTAAAGGCCAAATTGGAATTTTTCCAGCTTGATCACTTAAGATCATCAGGAGTGTTAAAAGATTGAAGACCTCAGGAATCACATTGTTTGAACTACTAGTATATCATTAATCACATTAGTGACATTATTTCATTTGTTGTTAAAGAACTTCATTCATACTTAAAAAGAGCCATTAACACAGGTACCATGAAATGTTTCCTTACCCTAAGAAGTCAGCTGACATCTTGCTATTGTAGCTCATTGCCATATATTGCCACACTAGGCCATCAACATCCATCACAGCATTGTCTAGACATTTCCTAAATGTTTCTCAGGTATTTAAATATAGGGTTCATTTTAAACATCCAATACTTGAATTAGCAAAATTGTGAAAATGCCTCTCTTCCAGAAAATCTGATTCTATTTATAAAAAGCACAGGTTTACAGGTATATGGATGAGAATACTTTCAGGAGAACAGGGACTAATCCGAATGGTCAAAATAACAGTATTGAGCTATCCCATATTTCACTGTGATGTGGTAAAAGTCAAAGGTCTTTTCAAACAATAATTGTAAACTACGAGACCCATATGTTTCCCTTTCTCTTCCATCCTACAACAATAAGATAAAAAATTGAATTTTACAGGCTTTGGTTTGAAGCCTTTATCTTCAAAAGAGACCTGAGAAGGAAGACTTAACTGACCTTTCCATGTAAGAAAGCACATCACCTACTGAGATTTGTCTTCCTTGTTGGCACCTCCCTACAAAAGAAGTGGGAGGCTAAAATCAGCTTCAACTTGTGCAAATTAAAAGTAACCTTCAGGCTAATGGGCTTTCAACACCACTCCTTACTGGGCAAAAAATTTTGTGTCCCATAAAATTAAATTACCTCCTCGAAAATGACTTCTCCAATAAATTACACCATTAAATACAGTAAAACTGGAATTCCTACAAAACAATTCTTCCCTTTCTGAGGAAACACTCCCATTACTGTGAAAATTGATTCCATCTTTAATGGAGTATCCATCTAGTCAAAAAAAGGGGCACAGAAAACCTAAAAACTATCAAAGAAATAGCAGTACAATTAAAGGCCAGAGAAATAAATCAGAACTTTGAGGTAACTAGAATGGCAGTTTGGAGAGATCAATGCTTTAGCACTTTATCAAATGCTAGATTTAAAGAACGTGGAGAATTGTCACCTAGCAGAAGGTGACTTGTTATTTTCAGTTTCTTTGAAGTAGCTATCAGAAGGAAACAATCAAATAATTAAGCATTGTAATGAGTTTGTGAGGTGGTAGCTCTTATATTAACTCTGGCAATCACCATAAATCGACTATATTTTCACTAATTGAGGAAGTTCTAATGTAGTTCTCTTTGAATGGAGTTGGAAGTCATAAACACATTGTTGAATGACTACTCTGTTAGGAGCTAAACCAGCTTCTTTAAGAATGAAGATATCAAGGAAAGGACCCTACAATTCACTTGAAAGATTGACCAAACATACACAAAATGGGAGAATTCATTAACAAAAGTTGACAGTATGAATTGTATGCATAATTGAACTGTGAGGCAATTGGGCACAATTATCATGAGGCTAGGTAAAGCTACATGGCTCAATTTGACCTGAAAGGCATTGAGTATACGAAGGGGGCAAATATAAGAGGTCCATGATGAAATATTATCCTGGCTGCTGTGTACTGGGTGGATTAAGTTCACAAGAAGCATAACACAAATTAATACGAATCCTAATAACATCTAACACTTATAGGTGCCAGACATTGTTCTAAACATTTTCATATATTAACATGGTAAATCCTCACATGTAAAATCCTCATGTATTAGCATGTTAAATCCTCAATGCTTTGAGGCAGGCCCTGTTACCATCTCTTTTTACAGATGGGGAAACCAAAGCACTTACGTAATGTCTGATCTTTACAGTAAACTTTCTGCATAGCAACCCCCATGCAGGTAAATACAAAGTGAACTTTCAAAGCGGGTGTCGTCATCAGAGTAGAATACTAATAGAGCCACTAGATATATTATTTGTAAATGCTTTATTATGGAAAATCTCAAACATATATAAAATATAGAGTAGTGTAATGACCCTGCCCCCTTCATATACTCAATCTTGATTCACCTACCATAACTCCATTCAATGATCCAAACCCCTCCCCTCACTATTTTGGAGTAAATGTAAACATTGTATCACTTCATCATCCCTAAATCTGTCAGTATGCATCTCTAACAGGAGCCTCCTTTTCTTCTTCTTCTTCTTCTTCTTCTTCTTCTTCTTCTTCTTCTTCTTCTTCTTCTTTTTTTTAAGATTTTATTTATTTATTTGACAGAGAGAGCCAGCGAGAGAGAGAACACAGGCAGGGGGAGTGAGGGAGAAGTGGGCTTCCCTCTGGAGCAGCTAGCCCCATTCTGGGCTTCATCACATGATCCTGGGCTCATGACCTGAGCCAAAGGCAGACACTTAAGGACTGAGCCACCCAGGCGCCCCAACCTTTTTTTCTTAATATCGCCTTAAAATTACAATAACTCCTTAATATCCAAAATCAATTATCAAGTTCCAAAAATATATCTCACTTTTTAAAAAAAATATTTTATTTATTTATTTGACAGACTAAGATCACAAGTAGGCAGAGAGGCAGGCAGAGAGAGAGGAGGAAGCAGGCTCCCTGCCAAGCAGAGAGCCTGATGCGGGGCTCGATCCCAGGACCCTGAGATCATGACCTGAGCGAAAGGCAGAGGCTTTAACCCACTGAGCCACCCAGGTGCCCAGGTGCCCCATATATCTCACTTTAATATTTATTGAGAACTTGCTATGCTAGCATTAGACACCTCTCCACATACTAACTCATTTAAATTGCTGTAATTTAAATTGCCTTTTCCCCGCCCCCTTCTTGCTTTCATTCTTACTAAAAGGAACAAGTCTGTCTCTACCAGAGGATTCAAAGCGCTCCTGAGGGGGTCTTTCCCGGCAGAGCAGCCCTGCAGCGCCCGGGCCCCGCCCCTACCCTCCCACTGAGCGTCCTAAATTCCGACCCGGAAGCCTCTTAGAGGAGGGATTCGTTCCCCAGACTCGCGCCTGCGGCCCCGCCTCGGTTGCCTAGGCGACGAAGGGCCGCAACTCCGGGGCGAGATCCTGAGGATGTCCATGGGGACCACTCCCGGGGGGACGACCCCCGCGGCGACGACCCCGGCGGGAACCACACCCGAGTCGGAGGTACGCCGCCCCTTCCCGGCACCCGCGACCCTCGATCTCACGCCTCAGGCCCACGCGGCCCGCGGCTGGGACCCGTCCCCAGGGAGGCGCCTGGCTCCGGGATTGGGAGCGCGGCGACGAGTGGCGGCGGGGCAGGGAGCGGACCGGAGCGGACCGGAGTGGACCCAAGCGGTGCCAGGGTCCGGGAAGCGCCCTGCGCTCCCCGAGCCTTGCCGCCGGCCGCGCCCCCGCCCCGGAGCGCCGCGAGAGGTGCCCTGGAGTGGAAACTGTAGAAATTCCTCCCTTGGTCGGTTCCAGGTTCCCGCGACCTCACAACGCCGTTCTTCTCCCGGATTCTCTGCCCTTGAAACAGGATCTTGGAATCTAAAATGGACCGGTCCCTTTTAGAAAGTGCTGCTAATTCTTTTGCAGTGATCATAGTTCCTATTGCTCAAAGGTGTCATGGAATAATAACTATTCATTGTTAGTAGATTGATTAATATTTGAAGGTCAGGGCTTGGTGTCTCCCTGATTATTTTACCACTTCTCTAAATACGGAGATACATGATAGGACAAAGGAGGGGCCCTGGAAAATCGACCTTTTGGTTTTGGCTTCGTTCCTCATCATCCACTTGTCTCTACGAAGATCAACCTTCTCCAGTGGTTTCCTGTATATGGAAAAAAAAAAAAAGAAGAAGAAGAAGAAGAAAAGGATTTATCTTTAGGCCCCTCGCAACACCAGCTCTCAATAATAAATGGGTTTTAGATAACTTTAATTGCTCATAAGCTTAGTATCCTGAGATTTTAATTAGGAACATATCTGCTATTCCAGATATTGCTAAAAGAAAATGTTTAAATCTTCACACGGAGTCCATCATGTTCTAGAAAGTTTTTTCTTGAATTTTTTTTTTTAAAGACTGAAGGTGAATAATAATGTTATAATTGACATGGCTATACTCCCTTCTTAGTCTAAATAACATTTTTTTTTTTTTTAAAGATTTTATTTATTTATTTGACAGAGAGAGATCACAAGTAGACAGAGAGGCAGGCAGAGAGAGAGAGAGAGAGGGAAGCAGGCTCCCTGCTGAGCAGAGAGCCCGATGCGGGACTCGATCCCAGGACCCTGAGATCATGACCTGAGCCGAAGGCAGCGGCTTAACCCACTGAGCCACCCAGGCGCCCACTAAATAACATTTTTTGTGCAGAAGCTAAGTATTAGCTGCTATTTTCTAAATGTAGAAACACACAGCCAATAATCTGGTGCCTTGCCAGATAGATATATACAAGTCGTTACCAATCCAGATTCTTCCCAATACTGCAGACCGCTAAATTAGCACACTGACTGTCCTATGAGCCTGTTGAAATTAGCATACATTAAAAATACATTTTAATGTGATAAACTGCTGTCTAAGCTAGTTACTCCCTTGTGATCGCTAATGTAAGTAATACAATTTCGAAAGTGGCAGAGAAAATTTCCCAATTAAGTCATGTTATTTAAAAATATACAAAAACTTACCTAAGAAAATGCACAATTATCAGTGTACACTTGTATGTATGTACTTGTCCATGTAGATGTAGATAGTCTTTTCTGATAATTTGGGGCTGATGAATCTGCACTTCAAAAAAAATAAATAAAGGAAGAAAAGAAAAAAATACCCCCCCCCCTTTTTTGAAGATGCAAAGAAGTGCTATGCCCCAAGGGAAAAGAAAATCACTTTTGTTTTTTAGATGGGTCAGATGAGTTGAGTTATAGACCTCAGGTGACTGTCTGCCATCTTAGCACTGTTGGTGGGCACATTTGTTAACTCCTCTTGGAGGAGCAGGTATTCCCTGTGACAAGCAATTCAGAAAATATTCAGTCTTTTAGTTGGTAACAAACTGAAGAAATCAAGAGGGAATTTGGACTCATTGAGCTGTACTCACTTAGCCTGTACTGAGATGAACAGGCTGATACACTGCATGGTAGAACCCAGTTTCCATTCCAATGATAGCAGGGTTCCTCTAGGTCACAGAGAAGCCAGTGGATCTGTAGAGCCTGCATTCTTTAGAGTGATGAGGTCTGCTGGCTGCCCATTTGTGTCCACAATATGTTTTAGGGGTTAGATGGAAAATATGGCCGAGACCCCTCTTTCAGTTAGATACTGAAAGGTTCTTCTTAGGTCAAATTCTTTCCAGTGTTGATCTCCCAAGACCTGAGCAGGACCATGGGGGAGGATAACAAAATTATTACTTAAAATACTGTTGAGAAGACAGTTAATATACAGTAGTTAATGTTAATATACAGTAGTATTATTTATAAACATTATTTATAAAACATTTAGAACTTCTGGGAGTAGTGGCTGTGAGTGTGGAGAATTTGACAAACATTTGGGCTTGTCCTTCTTTTTATTAGTGGTCTTTGGGTTTCCTTTCTTATTTTCAAAGTCCTGTTTCTCCTGTCTTCATCCTCCCTTTCAGATGATGCAAGTAATCTTTACTCTTTTCCTAATATATAAAGTATTGTTTTACTAAGGTTTAGCCTTTAACATGGCTAAAATTAATTTTTGATAGATATATTTGATATATTTTAAATGAGTACCTAATTTTATTTTCTTCTAGACATGAACCATCAGTTATGCCAGCTTCATTTACTAAATAAACCATCCTCTCTCTTTCCATTGAGAATGGACTACCACTATCACATTATGTGTATATACATGTGAATGAACACAAGGATGGGCAGAATAGTGGAACAGAATAGAGACTCCAAACATTTATTTATTTATATACACACACACACACACACGTATGTATACATGTGTGTGTATTTTTGAATTTCTGAAAATTTATATATATTATTATAGATATATTTTTGAATATCTTTTTCTTTTCTACTGACCAGTTTTCCCATTCTTAAGTCAATGCCATACTATTTTATATTTAGCTTTAATATCTAATTTGGAAAGTTTCCTCTCACTATTTTTCTTTTTAAAAATATATCTATTCTTCCATAAGAATTTTTAAAAATTAGCTTATAAAGTTCTAGAATGATACAGTTGAGATTTAAAATTGCCATCATGTTACATTTATAATGTAGGAAGGATTTAATTTTTTGAAGGTTTCCAATAAATCTCCTTTATTAAGTTTTTTATTAAACTTTTGATAAAGTTTATAATTTCTATAGGTCCTATATCTTTCTTATTATATTTATAACCAAGTATAGTTTAATCACATTTCTGCCATTTCCATTTCTAATTAGTTTCTAATATAGAGAAAAGCAATCGGCCTTTATATATTTGTGTTATCTTACCATCTTATCAAATTTCTTATTAACTGAAATCATGTTAGTACAATGTCAGGTGTCTTAGGTATACAACCATGTGACCTTCAAATAAAGATTTATTTCTTCATTTTTAATATTTAAGCCACATGTTTAGTTTTCTTATTATATTAGTTAGAATTTCTACAGAGTGTTAAATTTCAATAATGTTACTAGCCAGAATCCTTTTTTAGTTTCTGGTTTCATGAGAATGACTTCAGTTTTTTACCATTCAGTCTGATGTTTTGACAAATAATCTTTTTTGTGTTTAAGCTATTTTTTTCTATTCATGTTTTACTAAGAGTTTTGCTCCTGAATTCTAGCAAGTGCCCACTTAATATTTCATTATTATATCATTTTTTATCATTTAATTTGACACAAAAAGTATCTTGTTAATGATGATCCATCCTTGAATTTCTGAAATTAATCTTATTTGGTCATAATGATAGCTTGTTTTTCCTAGTACACTGTTGGATTCAACTTTCTAAGACAATACTTTAATTAAAATTTTTACATCTGAATTCATGAATGATATTGATTTATAATTTCCATTTTGTGCTTGTTTAGGTTTTTGTGTGTAGACTCTGCCAGCTTCTTAAAAATGAATTGTCTACAGTCTGTAATTATTAGTCTAACAGAATTTATGTGTTCTTCATTGTTAGGTAGAACTTCAAGTGTACAACTATCTGGGCGTGGTGACTTTTTAAAAAAAGTAGACTTACAGTTTAGTTTATGTGGTCAGTTCAGTTCTCTTTCTTACCCCTGTTCAAATTTGATGACTTACACATTGTCTTGTAATTTTCAAATGTAAGTCTATAGAATGTGTCATATGTTTATTTTTTTATTTAACTATGTTTGCCAAATATTTCTGCCTATTTTATTCATCACTTTAAAGAACTAGTTCTTGTTTTCACTTATCCTTCTTTAATCTGTTATTATTATTTTTAAATATCTTTCTTTTTCTTAAATTGGCTCCTTAACATGGCATGGAGTGTATTGAGGCATGTAGGGCAGTCTTCTTGGGCATAAATTTAAGAGATGCCAGAAATTCAGTAGTCAAGATACTTAACTTCAGTCGAAGGCATTTTTTTTAAATTAAAAGTTAATACAAAAAGCTCATAATGGATCAAAATTTTAAGTAAAGACAGAATCAGTAGTACTGATCTTTCCTTTTGCCTCAGGCTCTGACATGGCTCAACACAGTGTTGCTCCTTAGTTCATTTATTTTCATGCTTGAAGAGAGACTTTCTAAGTATAGAAATTGTAGGCTAGTCTATATTCTTTATGACTGCGAAACTCCTCTTAGTCATCTTTGATGAAATATGTTATCTTTTTTTTAATGAACATTTATTAAGAATCTTATGGGATACTACCAGTGATAGAAAGATATCTCAAAAGCTTAAATTCAAGAAGGAAGACATACAATGTGGAAAGTTTAGGTGAATAAGAGAAGAAATTCAGAGAAAAGATTATCGGGCATATAATATTAGGCTTACAATTTTATTGCTTCTGGAATAATTGCTAAAATTACCAGGTGGTGGAATAAAATGAGTTACAGTGAAGTTTAGCTTACATATTTTTCTAGTCAGAGATGGAATTTTACAGAGAAAACCAAATTACATATCACATTTTTATTAGTCTATTCATGAATTTTGTATTGTATCTTTAATTTTTATAAGTCAGAATATATGTGTTGAAAGATTAAAGACTTTTACCACCTTAT